ACTTGTTTTGACCAAATTGAGCCTCAGCACTGAATATCGATTGGGCAAATCGGTGCACTTGTTTGCAGATTGGGGGCCCGTGAAACATGACTCAAGTAATTCTCGGTTCACATGATTGTCACTTCTTGCGAGAATTTCGGCCTCATCAAATTTGAATGTGTGGCCAGGTCTCGTTGAATGGGCTGCAATTTGAGAATTGGCATAATTTCGCCGCACTGCTGTCGCGTCTTCGGCAATTCGCGTCTTGAGAAGTCTGCCAGTTTTTCTGATGTAGCTGCTTTGGCGGCAACTGCACCATATCCTGTAGACGACTCTAAATATTTCTTGCTGTGGCAGTGGGTCTTTCGGTTTCATTATCTGACGCCATATGGTTGCCTCTGGCCTGCGTGCGACTCCAACTCCAAGTGCTGCGAAAAGGCGGCCGACGGCCTCCGAGGCGGCGCGTGGGACGCGCATGTTCGCTTGTATTGGCAATAAGCTTCTCGCTCCAGTGATCGCATCTTCTACTTCTGAACTGCTTCCTGGAACTCGCTTCTATCGGTAACAAGTAACCACCTTGGCTACGCGTACTATTTACGCGACCTGCTCCCTCCCACAAACACAAGCACTAAAAATCCAAAAGAGAGACTAGGCGGCTCACATCTCACGTGAGTGAGTGCCAGAAGTCAAGTTAAGAATAAGCCATTGCAGCCTGGCTCCCAGACCATGAGTTTGTCACTCCGCATAAACACACACTGAACAGACTGTGGGGTCCGAATTTAATTGCCAGCTGGCAAACTTCCAAGCAGCGACGCTTAACGCGCCGTGATGGTCTCCTACTCGGATCTCATACGGGCAGCATAGGAATCACAAGGTCAAGTAGCCAAGGAGTATATCTCCCTCTAAGGCGGAGTTGCTTGATGCAAACACGTGTTTTCTGTGATGTTGGGCGTGCCTGAGAGTGGCGTAGGTGCAGCTGAGGATAATGTGATAGTGTAGGCGATGTGATGTAGCGGTGTAGTCAGTGGAGTTCTACCGCAGGTGGTCGTGGAGACGCATGTCGCCTAAAGTGCACGAACGTGCGTGGACAATGTGCGGACGGATGAGTCAGATGTATGCTGGTGCTTTTTATCTTCGGCTGAACAAGTTTGAAATTCTCCACATTCCTTCTCCAGTAAAAATGCTGTCCGACCTACATATGATTGTTTTCCTCTTACGAAATCCATCCCTCTTCTTTGAGCCGCGTGCCCGTGAACCACTTCCTCTAATAATGCTGGCCGCCCTCCCCCTTGATCCTTTCCAGTCATTTGCACACGTGTGCCACTGCTCGAGTGGCACTTTAATACGTCACCTCCGCCTTTCTCGGGCCTCCAAAGGAAATCGGCTGTCGTGCATGGCTGACCTGAACACCGCTCGACTCAGTTTTCCTTTCGCCGGCAATATAGTCACGACTGCTCTGAGTGGCACTTGAATACGTCCCCTCCCCATTTCTCGGACCTCCACAGGAAAAAAATGGAGGCAGCAGCTGTCGAGCTTGGTTGACTTGAACACCCCTTTCCTTGTCTCTGTACACTAATCCCACTTCCCGCGCACTGTTTCAGGCCATTCGAATGCCACATTAACTGCCTTCTGGAAACACATTAAAAAAAACGGTTGCCCCCTATCCCAGGAACACACACACACGCTCTCCCAAGACTGGTTTCACCCTGTGTGGCGGTGTTGAACGTACGCTCTTCCCTTATCCAGAGTCACGCAACTTGGACGACTCCCTTTATTCTTGACTGTGCATATCCATTGTTGAGGCTTGTACTTCGTTTATCCTTTACTATTTGTTTAATAGAACAGTACCAAATTGATAGTTGTTATCGTTAATGTTTGATGTACGCGTTACTGCTGGATACAGAGCCAGAAGACTCAAGAACAAGAAATAGTACTCAACAACGAAACAGTGCTCCTGACACCACCGAATTGCTAAAAGGCACGTTAGCCAATTCAACTACTTCTACAGTCACTGCCGGGGTGGTTCTACAACAGGCAAAATTGCTGGGTGCCCAGGGCGCATGATCGCTCAAGTATATGTGTATGAAAACGAGGGACTAACTCACACCGGCTCCTGTGCGTCAAGAACATCTTGGAAGCTGCCGCCGCCTTCTTACATGCGAGAGAAGTCACAACTGCTGACCTAACACGGTGAGCGCTATCGCCCCAGTCGACGTAAGTAACCAAATGAGGGAAATCAAGCAGTCCACCATCACAGCGACACCACTACACACAATCGGACTGCCCAGTAATAAAGTGAGATGGACACAGCTGGGATCGTCTGCCCTGCGGAGTCCTCGGTCGGAACAAAGTCGAGTAAGAAATGTATCTTTAAAACAAAATATACAAAGGCTGGGTGCGGGGGGGGGCGGGTAATGGGGAGACTTTACAAGGGATCGCTTTAAGCGATAGTATCTGTACCGGTCCCGCCCGCCGCTGCCGTCTGCGCCATCTCTTGATCTTCCGCCGTCATCGCCTCCTCCTCTTCTTCGTCTTCCTCCTCTTCTTCCTTTTCTTCTCCTTCTGCGTTGGCGGAGTCTGTCGCAGGCTGTTCGCCTCGTTCCACACCGAGCAGTTTACCGGTGTCTGAAACGCTGGCCAGAAACTCGGGCGTCATGTACTGCTCCAGAAGCAGGCGCTTCCGCTGCTCTACAAGGGCCTCCTCCATCTGACAAGTAGAAAAATAAAGACAGCCTTGATTAGTCAGGGGGGAGTGGGGAAATCACTGGCTTGCAAAGCCCTTGATTTGCATAGAAACGGCATAAGAACAACAGCAGAAAGAAGGGTTCTATTGCCAATTCCGAAGGCTGCATATCAGTAGATTAATAAAGTCCCATTAGAAACTGACAAAGTCAACCCCAACAAACGTATTATGCAGTAATCCCACTGAAACTTATGGGGTTCAGTTTAACTATTCGTACACACAGCCGACGCCAAAATAAAAAAACAAACCATGTTTACTCCTAAGAAATAAGTAGGCAGTTATGCAAAGCAAAAAGGGCTTGCTGATCCTATGGTAGATTGTTACTGTGACAACTTTCGGACTGAGCCAAAAAGCTTAAGTCCGAAGGATTCACTCCACGATAGGGCTTTAATTTCTGAGGTGCTTAAAAAGTAGAATTTCAAAACTGGAGTATATACCAGCAGGTACCTGGGGCAAGAAAATATTAAGGGGACCAACCGATGAGCCGGACGATGCGGCGACGGAAATCGGCGCAACACGCATATCCGAGTTTTCTATTATTACAGTAGCCGCCGGCTATTAAGCCCACCTCGGGCCCAGACCAAATTG